ACCAAAGAAAAATAATATAGAAGGGGCATTTTAACATATGAATTATGATCTATTATAAATTTTAATTTGAAATGTTTTAGGACTGATTATCGGTAAAAAATAATTAATAATTAATTAACAAAGGCGTAAGCAATACATAGTTATGTGGGTTGTTCGAGAGTTGGTGACGCAAATTAACTGTGGAGTTTACACTAAATTGAGAGAATAATCTTGTTTGGTATCATCAGGAATCGGGTCTAGTTTACGTTCATTCTGGTGAAGTCATTCAGTTTGTTAATACCATTGGGGCGGAATGACTTCAATCTGTGCATCCAGAACTTTTCTTTGCTTTTTCTCTGAGCGTCTGTCCATCTTGGGTTATGATCAATCACCACTACTGTCATGTCCTCCCATTTGTGACCCTCAAGGTTGAAATGTTCCCCAACGGGTTCATTGAGTTTTTTGGTCCTAATGGTCGAACGGTGGTTATTGACTCTTCTGCGGAGATCTCCTGTTTCACCAATATACTGTTTGGAGCAAACTTTGCAACTGATGAGATAAATGCAGTTGTCAGTATGACAGGACAAACTTCCTAGTATTTTGTAGCTGCGGCCTGTAACAGGGCTGTTAAAACTGTCTGTGTCAGTGCTGTGCTTACAAAGAAGACATCTTCTGTCAGAGCAAGTCTTAAAGCCCCCGTTAGGTAATGGGTTGTCCAGTCTGGTTCTTACTACCATGTCCTTTAGGTTCCTAGGGCGTCTGTATGCAGCCAATGGGGGTTCCTTAAAGACCTCTGCCATTCGTTTGTTTGAATGGAGAATTGGTAGGTTCTTTTGAAGGATACCGCTTAGGTTCTTAAGGACGGGATGGTATGTGGTTACCAGAGGGACCCTACCGCTATTTTCTTTCTCTTTGTAGCGTAATAGGTTTTGCCTGTCATGTCCCGCCATCTCATCAATAGCTGTTTGTACGTTGCGGGCATTGTAGCCTCATTTGCATAGGTGGGACTTAAGAAGACCACTTTGCTCCTGATATAAGCCAGGGGACGAACAGATGCGTCGAATTCTGGTGGCTGGACCCTTAGGCACTCCCTTAAAAGTGTGTGGGGGATGACAGCTAGTGGGCATAAGATATAGGTGGGAATCTGTGGGTTTGGTGTGGAGACTGAATTCGATTTCATCATCAATCAGGGTAGATGTGGTATCTAGAAATACGTTTTTCGAATTAGATACGTCTACTGTAAATTTGATCGACTGATGAAAGGTGTTGGCAAACGTAATGAATGCCTCGAGGCTCTCGCGACATTCCACCCACTTCATCTCTATATCGTCAATGAAACGCAACCAGCTATGGGGCCTAAATGGTGCTTGAAGTAACAAGTTGCGTTCCAGTCTGCCCATGAAGACATTGGCATAAGACGGTGCCATTTTCGTACCCATAGCAGTGCCATTAACCTGCAGGTAATGTTCTCCATTAAACATGAAGTTGTTGAACTTGAGAACGTGTTCAAGGAGCTTGGCAAGGGACTCGGTAGAAGGAATTTGTATGGACCTACTATCCCAGACTTCTCTACAGGCTTCGATACCCTCATCGTGCGGAATATTGTTGTACAAAGATGTGACGTCCATAGTCACGAGGAGGGTATGATCTGGGAGGCCAGTAGAGGGCGTCTTGTTAATGTAGTCCGTGGTGTCCTTGAGATAGGATGGCAAATTCTCTACGTGTGGACGGAGATGTAAATCAATGAATTCAGAATTTTTCTCCGTGGGGTGTCCAATTGCGCTGACTATGGGACGACCTGGCATGCCTTCTTTGTGTATTTTAGGAAGCAGATAGAATTGTCCTGGTCTACAGTCAATAGGATTTAAGGTCTCGTAGACGTTGATACCAATCTCATTTTTCTTAAACATATCGTCAAGAGTTTTGGTAATGGCGGTGGAGAATTCTTTAGTAGGGTCAGAGTCCAGTTTCTTATAGAAACGTTCGTCTGAGAGTTGTCTTTGGGCCTCCGCCATGTAAGTCTCTTTATCCAGTACGACAACTGTAGAGCCTTTGTCTGCTTTCTTGATTACAATGTCATCCCGATTTTTTAATGATTGTAAGGCAGATCTCTCTTCCTTACTCAAATTGTCGGGAGTCTTGTCTGGCACTGAAAGGAGCTTCTCTATGTCTGACTCAACGGCGTCAATATACGACTCAAGCGCGCCACACTTGCCCGGTGCAGGTTCCCATTCACTCTTGGGCCTATAGAGTTTGTGTTCCTCTAGATCGTGTAAATCTGGCTTGGAAGAGTCGTATGAATTTACTTCGGAGTCTTTTCTAGAGAAGTGCTCCTTCAAACGAAGTCTCCGGAAGAATGCTCGGGTGTCCTCTCTGACTTGTTTTTCGTCGACCTCATGTGGCGTGGGGCAGAAATTCAGCCCCTTGGAAAGAAGTGAGGTCTCCGATTCGGAGAGAGGAGCACTAGATTTATTGAGCACTGGGCAGACGTCAGGAGTTTGTATGGGTCCGTCCCTCGCTATTGTCTTAGTGCGCTTGAAGCGTCTCGAGCGAGGTTTACGTGTTATGTTAACTCTGACTTCTGACCAGTTGTTCCTAGACTGTGGAACACTGTCGCGGAGAAATTTCTTTCTTTGAGTCTTGTTGACTTTATTTGTTAGGGCCATATTATAGGTGTCTATAATATTATGGGCTTCATCAAGATCGGCCTTGGACATGATATCGTTGAGGGATGATTCTAAGGACTTGATCTCACTCTTCAATTGTCCTAACTTGTGGATATCCCAAGAAAGACAGAGTGACATCAGAACATCTCCTTGTAATAACGTCCCAGCGCTCCTGAAAGCGTTTGGAGATTGGCCCTATGTTAGGTGTAACATTTATCTGAAAGCCTTTCGGTATAATGTTACACTCTAAGTAGGTCTGTAAATTGGAGACCCGGTGTTCAGTTTTTATTGATTTTTGGTGTTCTTTCTTCAAAAGTTTGAATGTTGGGGTATCTTTTATGGACATATTTGAAAATAAATAATTGCCAAAATGATAAGACTACTTTTAATATTTTAGTCGTGTGAAGTCGAAAGATTCAACGAACGATTGTTCTGGATTCTTATGTATTTCGTAGATAATTCGTGCAAGAATTCAAAAAATTTAAAAACAAATGTTACATGAGTAAAAATCGAAAGGGAAAAGTGGAAAGAACTAATTTACAACGGTTGGATACAAAATAAATGATAGAAAAAGTCAAATGATGAAAGACATAACCAAAAATAAATGATAGGAACAGAAAATATAAATAAAGAAATGATGGATATACGGGTGGATCTGTGAAGATACAGTTGGCGAAAAAGGATATAAAAAGCACTAAAAAAAAAACCAACAACACTGTATATCCTAAATGTCGGATCTATCAAGTAGATACAAGGTCACGGATGGAAATTTATAAAAAGCACTAAAAATGACCAACGACACGAACAATAAAAATTGTCAAATTTTCGGGACGCCCTGTCCCTTCCTCAGGACAAAGAAAAGAGTTAAAAAGTCATAAGAACAAAGGAAAAAGCGAAACAAAAAACAACTAGCACTACTACTAAACTACTAAACACTATATATTTACATACTAAGTTACATGTTGATTTGGAAATTTTTAAGAACACTATTAAAGAAAGAATCCGGACCGCTATGAAATGCGTCCGGTCTATCGGGTATACTCGGGTGAAGTGCGATTTACATAATTGAACGAATTAATTATGCTAATTAATTACGACAATTTACATATTTTGGATCAGAGGTTGTGCTCTATATGAAATATTGAAAAAATGGTTCAACTTTTGGCCATTTTCAAAGGAATTTACAGGATATGAGGAAAATGACGCATTTTATGACGTCATAATGCATTGGCTAGATGGGAATTCACTTAACGATTAAAAGATACGTGGTCACCAACACTCCAAGTGATAAATACTGCATTTGCAACCTAAACTGAGCGGTTTTGATTTTTCAGAAATTCTCAGGGCCACATAAGGCCCAAAGTGGCTCTTGCTCTTTAAACTTGTATTGTGGCCACACCCTTTCACGGTTTGAATAAATTTGAATCTAAATTATAAGAGGATGCTTCCTACTAAATTAGACCAACCATGGTTTTTTTTGTTCTTGAAATGATTTATTTTTATTTTCTTAGATTTTTCCGGGATACTTCTCTGTAAAACTTTGATCGTTCATTGTGGCCCCATCTTACCCCCAAGGGTCGTGATTTGAACAATCTGAATTTAAACCATTTGAGAATACTTCAAAATAAATCATAGCTTTGATATTCTTGAAGTTTTTTAAGATTTTCCATGTTTGCTATAAAAAACTCGCCCACTGTGCCCACACCCTACCCCGGGGGTCATCATTTATATAATTTAAACACACTTGAATCTACACTGCTTGAGGATGCTTAAACATAAGCTTCATATTTTTTGCACAGTGGTTCTTGAGGAGAAGATCTTTAAACGATGCATTTTTTAAAGAATTCGCAATTATCTCCCCTTGCAAGAAGAAATGGCCGTTCGTTTGAACAAACTTGAATCTTCTTTGTCCAAGGATTTTTTTTCGCAAATTTGGTTGAAACTGGCCAAGTGGCAACAACAAAAAATCGAAGATGACGACAGACAATGGAAAAAAATTTTACCAGACAAACTCACTTGAGCCAGATGAGCTGATAAAAGGAAAATGCAAGGATCTAGAATATAATCATCAAGTTATAGACATTTAAAAAATCAGCGCCCTGCACTTGTCAAAGTTTCAAGATTCTTCAGAGTATCCTGCCTAGTTGCAGTATTTTCATACCTTCAGATTGAGAAGTTCTTTCAGTTGATGAATTTTGAGGGGTACATGTAACTGATATGAACACACATAAGCTTACTGATAAGTTTTGTTTGTGCAATTTTCAATCCAATGAAAGATGTAGATTCTCTAAAAACAAAACCTGACACCATCTTACAGTGTAAAAGTTAACGTGTTGATGTTTTTAAACAACTCACATGTATTTAAGGAGATGTTCTATAAGTTGTACTACAGCTATTCCCTCTGATGGCGAATGTTCATAGTTTAGGCCACAAGCTCCGTCTTCAGAAATGATAAATTGCATAGTTTTATCATACCAGCGATTGGCACTGTTGAGATGTGTTCCAAGCCCGTGTAACATTTGGTTGGCGAGAGAAACATCATCCCTTATGTTACTCTGTGTTTCGTCAACGCTATTTCGATGATTCAGTGCAATTGGGATAGCCGAGTCCATACACAAAATAAATATCGAGCGTTCTATTGCATCCAAAGAATCGCGATTAGTCGATTCTGCAATTTAAGGTCAAAATCATACGAAATAGATATACCTGTAAATGATATATGTTGTAAATAATAGTTAAAAAGAGGGAATAACAATATTCGTTAAATTTTAAACCTCGTTGTATTCGTTACCTAACTGTTTAAATATCACTGAAAATAATGTTGATCAAGTTACTTCCCCTTTTTGTGACGTCATAAGAGACACTCGACAGAATCTACTTTATACACTGAACCAAACTTCTACGTGTTCACTTAATGTTTTTTAACTTTTAAAGAACAAATGCATACAATAAATTATTTCGTTAATTCTTAGTTAATGGTGCATATTTCAGTTCGATGTTGCGTAAATTTCATCTAAGTATCTCGTCAGAATTTTAAGCAAAGTGTCAAGGAAATGATGTACCCTCAAAATGAAAATTCACACAAAATATTCTCTAAGGAGTAAGACCACCCCTCGCTCTAATTACTGCAAGACATCCTTAACTGTTGGATACCATGTACCCCTGAATAGAATATTGACCCATCTGCCGCCACACCTACTGCGTAGATCTTTCCAAACCGTTGAAATTGTGTGGAAGGGGAGGGGCTTTGACATTCCTTATAAAAATCCCAAACGTGTTCAAGGGGATTCAGATCCGGGGATTTCACAGTGCATCATCACACATAGGCCTTTTGGTCAATATCCTTGATCGTTTAGCACGTAAGTGTGCCGCTTTAGGCATGATTCAGACTGCTTGAGATGATATTAGACTACCTCGAGAACTGATTTCTTATCATTTTCATACGATTAAAATTGTTTGTTTTCATGTTTCTAAGATTGTTTCAAGACAATTAAGATCATATGCAACGTAGTTTGAGGTTTGTTGGGTTCTTCCCTGGAGTTGAAGAGTTCCACTAAATAAAGGACCCGTGTGCAATACTTTTACTGTCTATATATGGATTTGCACACCTCTGCTATAACAAATTTTGATGAAAAAAAAATCTAGAATTTATGTTTTGTAATTTTTGTACATTTTTCTTTGAATAATGCAAAAAATTTCATAATTTGATATCAGTTTAAAACCCCTGGTAAATCATGCTAATTTTTTGTCTAAGAACATGTATAAATTTAGAATATCTTGAAAAGTTATCAGTAGGTAAGGTACCTTGCGTATGTCCTTAAACACTCTTGTAACCTGGTGTGACGCGAAATCTTGGCCCCAGACGAAGATCAAGGTCACTTCCGGTTTGGTTAAATTTTGTCCAAAGCTTTAAAATTGTGATTATTTGGGGATGAAAATGGCACACAGCCTATAGAAAAATGTTTTTAAGGACAGATGATACAAACAAATTTTTTCTTTGAAAAAGATTTAATGTGATGTCACAAGTTTAGAAAAGTGGATGGTTCTTAGAATTTTTTCTCCGAAGAACTGGAAAATGAAATAGACCTGGAAAATATTAGTAATATTTCAATAAAAAAACAAACATGGACAAATCACATTCAGTAAATGTTTACAGGTGAAAACAAATTTCAGAATATGTTATTTTGGCACTAAAAGTGCAATATAAACTTAAGAAAAATATACCAAGCCAGGTGAATTTTAAGAGGAAGATCAAAATGACAAAAAATTAGTAATATCACATAGGCTGATTTTTACCATTTAGCTTTTCCTAATAAAATTCACCTTGCTTGGTATATTTTTCTTAAGTTTATATTACACTTTTAGCACCATGTTAACATATTCTGAAAATTGTTTTCACCTGTAAACCTTTACTGAATGTGATTTGTCTATATTTGTTTTTTCATTGAAATATTACTAATATTTTTTAAGTCTTTTTCAAATTCCAGTACTTAAGAGAGAAAATTCTAAGAACCATCTTCATTTCTAAACTTGTGACATGATATTAAATCTTTTTCAAAGAAAAAATTTGTTTGTATCATCTGTCCTTAAATGGGTTTTGATACTGGTAATTAATTTTTAAAAGTAATATAAATATATAATTAAAGTATATCATTGAGGGATTGAGCTCGGCGCAAGCGCCTCGGGAAATAGACTTGCTCTTGGGGAACTGGAATCTTGCTGACTCCCTCAATGATATACTTTAACTGTTTTATTATACCGATACAAAAATAAGACATTTTCAAAGCCAGTAACTGCAATTCTTATTCAAACAGTGCAATTATAAAGGAAATGGAAATAAAGGAAATATTAATTACTTAGAATGTAAATAAAATAAATAAATTCATTAAAATGTTTTTGCATTTGAATCAATTAGATACAAAATACTTGTATCTACAAGAAACTTTTTTTGTTATATAAACAATTTCCACTGTTACAAAGAACATTTACGTGATCTGTGGATACATGTAGCTCTCAGTGCACATTAGTTTACAAGGATGACGTCACAATAACAAGTTACATTTTCCCGTATAAATTAGGCCCGCCTCCTTGTACAGCTGCATTATGAATATTCATGATTTTTTGGAACACATCGGTACTTTTCATATGATTAAAAGAAATTGCTAGGTGTTCTGAATAGGTGTGTATCAGTTCATCAAACTGACATGCCTTTCTGCAAGGAATCAGTCTTTCTGAGGTGATTTTCAGGAAATCAGCAAAATTTATTATACCTCAACTGATTTTTCACTATATAAAATTAAATCGATATATTTTGCTGATTTCCTGAAAATCACCGTAAATAAACCGATTCCCTGCAAAACAGACTGATTCCCTGCAAAAAAAGTACGGTTTTTTTTTTTTGATGAACTGATACACACCTATTCGGAACGCTTGACATTTTCTTTCAACTTACGACAAACTTAAAAATGTTCCGAATAAACTCATGAATATTCATTAATGAATCGAAATGCATCGCGAGTCAACTGGTCCCATATCAATCAAAAAGAACCAGTTTACTGGTAGCGAACGACAACAGAAAATTAGAGAAATGGTGTGCTCAATATTTGCGTAATGTTACTTTCGATTTTACTAAGTAAAAACTCGGACAATGAACTGATTTATTGATACAATGGAATTCCTTTCATGACTGTATTCTGTTTTGTCGTACTTTTTATCTATTCCTGTTGGAATAAAACATTGTTACTGAATACAGTTTTGAATATAATTTTTTCAAATGTTTTGTTTGTATCGGTATAATAAAACAGTTAAAGTATATCATTTCGGGAGTCAGCAAGATTCCAGTTCCCCGCGAGCAAGCCTATTTCCCTCGGCGCAAGCGCCTCGGGAAATAGACTTGCTCTTGGGTAACTGTAATCTTGCTGACTCCCTCAACGATATACTTTAACTGTATAATATTGATTTACTCTTATATAGTGGAAAATCAGTAGAGGTATAATAAAGACAAATAAAAAAGGAAATAAAAGTGAGTAAAACGTGGTGCAAGTATGGAATGCCGTCACTGCCTTATAGCAGAACACTACTATTGCATTGTGTCAACCTTCCATTACATTATGTCAACTCTTTATGACATTAACCCACACTACTGTTGCATTGTGTCAACATTCCATTACATTATGTCAACTCTTTATGACATTAACCCACTCTACTATTGCATTGTGTCAACCTTCCATTACATTATGTCAACTCTTTATGACATTAACCCACTCTACTATTGCATTGTGTCAACCCTCCATTACATTATGTCAACTCTTTATGACATTAACCCACACTACACACACATTATGTCAACTCTATACATTTACACACACTACAACTTGCATTTCGTTATGTTTACTTTTCATGAGATCTTAGTTTTTATTAACTGATGTGAAAAGCTCATGCCATACTGTGCGCACTCTTCTACATTATGTCGATTCACTATTACGTTATGCGAACACGGATATCCTCGGCCTTTATATGAGCATAACGTATTTTCCGCGTTCCGCAAGCACTAAAAATGGCGGGAGAAAAACTGTCGTAGAAGAGATTCTCAGCGATTTGGGAATGACATCTTTAAATGAAAACTTTAAGCGACAAATGACTGACGTGCAAAGCCTTAACACTGCGATTGTGAATTAAAGTCACGTCGAAATTCAGTGGTGTTTACTTTAATCTCATAATTAAATAAATTAAATATTATGAGTCGTGCAGCAATCATTTTTTTCTTTTTATTTTGATTCTTTTTTTTTAAATAAAAGTCTTAAACTTTGAAGGACATTGCATTAGTTTCACAATAAGCTTAGCTGAATTAAGTTGAAAACTTTTTTCTATAAAACTATTAAGCCTGAGAGCTTCTCCGCTTTCCGCCCTTGGTTTCCAACCATATACCGTCCCCCTTGTTTCAAGATTCCCATATCTGCCACTGATATGTGCCCATGCATGCTTACTAAGGCATATTCAATTGATTTAGATGAGCGACTGGTAGATTTTTGTAATAGAATTCTGGCCCTGGAATGATTAAAAAAAATTACTAACTCCAGTGACGTAGCATCTTTTTTTTTGAAAGAGGAGGTCAGCCAGAAAAAAATCATTTACCCAAAAAACTTGACAAGCCAAGAAAAAAAAAGTCCAAGGCCGAAAATGCTATTTCGGGGAGAGGGGTCCAACTTCGATCAGTCCTATTTTTTTTCCAGATATATTACAATACCCTTAGTGGATTATACTTCAACAAAAAGTAGGGGTGGGGGCTGTACAGTTTCAATGAACATTACATTTTCTATAGTAAAGTTATGTCTGAGAAAAGAGGGGGGTTGATATTATGTGCCTGTAATTTGTCCTAATCAATCTGGACCCCCCCCCTTCTTACTCATTAAATCACGGTCGTCATCATTCATTATATACTAGATATACAGCTTTTAGATAATGTAAATGTTTTTTAACATGGAGTTTTGACATAATGTAATAAAGTATTGATATAATATAAAGATATGTTCACATTATGTTATACACTTTTTACACCACAGAATAAAGCACTGACATAAAGGTAAGATGTGTTCACCTCATATCATGATGCCCTCGCCGTAAAATAAAGATAAATCCATATCACGTAATAATGCTTTGATATAATAGAAATATACATTCTCAAAAAGGAATGGGCTTTTGACTTCGTGTAATGATAAGTTTAATTATAAAACACAATTTACTTGACATAATGCAGTTTTGACCTCACATTTTAAAGAAATGAAATGATGTAAAGAAAAATTCATTTCATGCAAGAAAGTTTTAACACAATGTAAACACATTATCACTTCATATAATGAATTTTTTACTTCAAGTTATGAAGTGCTGACATAATGAAAGGATGTATTTACTTCATGTAATGCAGCATTGACATGATGTTAAGATATATTTACATCATCTCATAAAAAATGGACATAACGTAAAGATATGTTCACATCACGTAATGATAAATTGACATAATAAATGCATAGTTGTATGCTATAAGGCAGTGATGGCGTTCCATATGCAAGGATAATCCAGCTATCAACATTTCAACGGCTCTCCATTCTTTCTCAATGGTCATTTTGCCAATGTTTCTTGTTTTTTAGTGAAACCACTTTTTAAAATTTGATAATGATCACAAGAAAATGATAATTACACAAAACACGTACCGCAAAGTACAGATTTGGTTTAGAATTAGAATAGGCTTTACATGTGTGAACCAATCAAGGAAAGTACGCAAATTGATTGTTCTTCTACGACTCATTCCGTTTCGTCCGAAGCCGGTCAGTGGAAATGAAAATTACACAACTGACCAGGGATCATCGCAGAACATAGCGAATGTACATAACTGGTGTTAAATTCTTTTAACTCAAGCACTCAATTATATTTCCGCAAACAGAAAATGTTTTAGAGAAAATGAATTTTTGCATTGTTTCTAATTCGTCATACACATAGGACCATTTACTGACTTTCACTGGTGAAAAAGTATCTAAGTATGTAATTTTCTTATGGCCGTTTGAACTTGGGATATGGCGATTTTATTTATGTATAGTATACTATAATAAACAATGAACAGATTAATAGAAATTACGTCATTGTTGGATATATCATCCGTTGGAATCCGAAGATGTTACTATCACACATGCTTGGAGAGGAGACCCCCCACCCCATGGTGTTCCGTACCATAAGGGTTCTTTGACATTTTAAAAATAAAATATTTTTTATGACATATTCACAAAGTATTACAACTGAAAAATCCAAAATTTAAGTTTAAACTAACCATTTGAAAAAAGTTTCAAACCCTCTGTAAAAAAAGAACGCCCTATTTTAGTATCAGAGCATAGACGCTTGGTTTCATAGTGGTGTATTTTGTGTATTATGTGTTTTTCTAGATGTGTCTGAATACCCTCTGAATACCCTCATTAAAATAGAAATATTTACAAATGTTTTCCTTTATATAACACTACTGAAGGCAAACGTTTTTATAACTGTGTAAATACAGGTATGGGGTCAAGAGGTCATAGATGTGCGTTTAGATAAACGTTCGACGTAATTTCTCTGTGACGTCATAAAGGGTCGACGCGCGTTTAGTGGATTACATACATGCCGTTGGGTTTGAAAAATAAACGCATTTCACACGTTAAAAGTAACAATCAGGCAAATATAAAGTATGAATAAGTCTCAAATGTAAATATAAGTAATAAGGTATCATTTTTTGAGTTTTATTGAGATGTAAAACGGGTTGGCACATCATCAAATCTTCCATAAAGCCTTATTTCTTAAATAAAAATTCGCTGAAATTAGCACGTTTTAAAAATGTCATATTTACTGTAAAAAGAGTGAAGGTATGACACTCGCCATCTTGGATTTTTCAGGGCGCCTCGGTTACAATGAAAAGCTAGCGAGAACAAGTTTGGCGCGGTTTCTGATCTCTCTAGATTTTCCGTGTAATTCCGGGACGCCTCTATATTTTTCATCGCCAATCATGCAGTTTTGCAGATTGTTCCTTTACGGTATATAAATTTACTTGTATTTTTTACTCCAGCATGATAGAGGTTAACGGACGAACGGCGAGATACATGTACTTTTGACTTGGCGCCGCGCAATATACATGCATATACCGAGTACATATTTTAAAATATTTACATTTGCAAATGTTTTCCTTTATATAACACTACTAAAGGCAAGCGTTTTTATCACTGTATAAATACAGGTATGGGGTCAAGAGGTCATAGATGTGCGTTTGGATAAACGTTCGACGTAATTTCTCTGTGACGTCATAAAGGGTCGACGCGCGTTTAGTGGATTACATACATGCCGTTGGATTTGAAAAATTAACGCATTTCACACGTTAAAAGTAACAATCAGGCAAATATAAAGTATGAATAAGTCAATAAAACTCAAAAAATGATACCTTATTTCTTAAGTAAAGAAACTTCACAAACTAAAACTTGACAAAAACGGAAAACATCAAATATCGAAGTATTCGTATGACAGACAAGGAATTCATGTAAACTTGCTTTGTTAAATTCCAGTAGGAGGGAGGGTGCAATATACACGAACCAATCGTCCGGTGCCTGTGATCTTGTGTAGTACTGTAACAAAAATTCAAAAAAAAATCCTTCTCTCCGAACAGAATTGTGGCTATAAATACCTAAACTTACAAACTAAAATACAATTTAAATTTTGAAATAAAATCAATAAAATCGTGAAACATTTTATATTTAATTAAACTGTGGCCTAAACTCGTCGCTCATATTTATAACGTTGTGTGTTTATTAGCCTCAAACCCATCTCTTTTTAAATTTAATATATTTTCCTCAATTTTAGGCTCTTACGAAATAAATATATACTCATGTCTTCGTCCGATTTATTGGTACAGTTAAAAGAGCACATTGCAACATCTCGCGAACAATAATGTTCCAAACCCGGTAATAATATGAAGTATGCACTTTATATTTCATGTTGTCTCTTATGACGTCACACAACAAGGGAGGAAAGCGATTTACAATAAATGATCCACTTGTCACACAGGTAAGTTTAAACGACAGTTAGTGATGGAAATTGGTGACAAAAAATAAAACAGACCATAGAATGTCATTCATATTGCTCCAGAGGCTGATAATAATGAATAATTATGAATTTTCACAAAATTATTGTACTTGACCTTTAAAGATTAAAGTAATGACAATTTACATCACACTGAACAGAAATTTTAAGGTTTCAACAAAGGTCAAAATGTCCAAAAAATTATTTTTGGAATAGCTCCAAAACTATGTGGTTTTTAAAGTTAAAACTTTTACAGTTTATTGATGTATCGAAAACGAAATTGAAGTGTCATTACGACATACTCTGATTCACTGAGAGACTCTGCATGGGAGATTGTGAATTTGTATGACAAAGCAAAATTGTTATCTTCTAGTCTATCTTGGTTTTCAATAAAAGTGCAGAATTAAGCAGGTGCACTTTAAAAAAAAATATGCAAATTTTTTCAAATATATTTTTTTCTCGAAAAATTATTTTTTTAAATATTTGATTTTAAGTTATACTTTCTATCTGTTAATCAATGATATGTTTATAAACTGTAAAAGTGTTAACTTGATTCTTTACATAGTAAACTAATTTTGAAGCTATTGTAAAAATAAATTTTTGGACATCTTGACCTTTAGCAAAACTTTAAGAGAGTACAGCATTTACTCCATTAATAATCACCTTCCATAAGTTTTCCTCTAGCTATGGCCCAGCGGTCTCTATAGGCTGCCGTTAATATTCCAACGGGTTCCACACACTCCTGGTTCTCCTCAGCCATTTTACTAATCCGACTCAACTGCGTGAAGAGGTCTTCTTCGCTTAAACGTGTAAAGTTGATTACAACATCCAGTACAAAATACTGAAATAAATCAATGTAGGAGTGCAGATTGGCATATCTTCTGTCTTTCTACAAATATTCTTCAAGATTCGAAGGAGAAAATCACAATTTCATGCATATTAAATGTGCAGATTTTGGATTTTCCACAATTTAATGTTTTTTTCTTTATAGCATATATTTTGGTGTACATCGAAATGTGTGAGGGTCTATCGTGCATTCTACCGCGCCGTTACGAGGTTTCGAGTGATCAGTTGTATTTCCAATGGATTTTATATAAAGAAAATATAACTGAGTATAAATGAATTCCATTTGACGACCATTTTGTTATTCACCGGGGTCGTACAGTAAAACATCCCTCATAGTTGAGTATCCAATGGGAGATATACTTATGTAATATTCTCTATGAAATAGAGGAAAAAAACCTCCAACATGGAGAGGGTTAATTTTACTATAAGTTCATTAACCTGTAGAATTACTTCTTCCCAGTTAACCTGACAAACCAATTGTACAACCGTTGCAATGCTCATCATACATGTATATGACTTTTAAACCTGAAAATCTTTTAAAAAATGATCATGCAATTTTAACAAATTTTCTATTTAAAAAAATTAAATCACAGTACCAGCTTTTTCAAGATCTCTCAGTTTTTTTTCCTTTCCTGATCAACATATTAGTGGGAAAGTATATGCAATAGCTTAAAGAAAACTTTAAGAATTTACAACAATGAACCAACAAGATACTAGCCGTTTACAATTTAAACATTGTTGTCAGAAGAACAAAACATAATTATACTTCAGGAAGGACGTGCTTTCATAGTATTGATATCGATGAGATCTTCTTTTGATATACAAAATTCTGGATAAATTTTGTAATGAATTCTTGATTCAATAAAACATTCTAATAATGTGGATTGAGAAAGAAAGGAAAGTTACTACGAGTATTGCAATTCATCCGGGGTTGATTTTCTGTTGACATATCAGGTATATTTAAAATTTTGCTATTACATGTAGTCGATACGGAAGCTGGTATGTGCCAGGTTAAAAAATATTTTATCTGGCGGCCGCCAGAAACTCATCTGGCGACCACCAAAAATTATTTTTTCGGTAACCAGATCTATTTATCTGGCGGCCGCCAGATACACTGTAAGTTTCTTGCGACCGCCAGTTATTTATGTGGCGACCACCAGATAAATTATTTTTTCTACCTGGCACCTATCGGGTTCTGTAGGTAAAACATTCTGAAGTATTTTTTTCTAAATAGACTTTATTTCGAGGGGAGTGGAGTTTCCATTCCGGGGTTAACTATTTGACACCGATTTCTGATGCAATATAACCACCCATAATCACACATACCTGGTTTTTGCAAACAACAATAATGTGTTCTGGATCAGGCAGAAGATGGCTGTTATTGGAGGTCAGAGAGTCCTTTTTGATTCCAGGAACTCTGTACGATGTGAATAGTCTGTAATATTGCTCCATACATAAAGGTTGCCCTTTCTTATTATGTCGTGCTCTGTCAACGGGGAGTCCCCGACTGAGGAATAGAACAATAATCATGACAATGCTTCCAAGTCAGGCATTGTCCTATCACTTTATAATTGATAGAAAGATCAATCTACTGTGTTTACGTAAAATTTCATCATTTTTTACTTATTGAGAACCTTTCCAAAACAGACCTCATACCAGTTTTTAAACATTCTGACAAATAAAAGAAGCCAGCATGTTTCCAGTAAAAAAAGGTTCAAAAGTGCAAACTTTTTTTTTATAAAACTGAGTAGCTGCAGAACTATAGCTCTTCGAAATTTTTTTTAACAGACCAGAGAGCTACAGTGAAACCCATTGAAAAATCTGACTGTATAATTTATTGCGCACAAAAAAGTGCGCTCGAATCTGGATTAATTCCTCCAAATTCTTACCTCAATTGCAAAAAAAGCTAGATTTCAAAAACTTCCTTACTCCTCTATCAAGTACTCTCGTAGTTTACATCACTACGAAGCGCCTTGGACCGAACTATCTTGCAAACCAAAATGGCAGTATAAATAGATAAATAAATAAATTTTTGATGATCTCAATTCTAGGGCCAGGAGGGCTAGTGATTATAAACAATCATAAGAAATGTTTTGTTGTGGAAACAGTGAAAGAATACGTTAGGAAAACAAGAAGTTGGTAATATTTTGAGATGATAGTTTTTAAAGCATGGAGAAATGAATCAAGGAACGGCACACTTTTTGTGCGCAATAAATATACAGTTTTTTCAATGGGTGGCACTCTAGCTCTCCGGTCTGTCAATACATATTCTTTACAGAGAGCTACAATTCTGCAGCTAAAAATGAGGACATTACACGTCAATGATGGTCTTATAATCCAATATCCCCGATATCAATCTGGCAGCGTATCTAAAAGTTAAAGAAAATAAATAGTTTGAAAAATATTCAATACAGTGAATGTGTGAGACAAGAAATCATCAGGTTATCTTTAAGAACGTGTTTGTTTTGCCATCTCCCGACCGACCGACTAAAAATGGTCGGACTCAAGAGTTTATTATTTATTTTTTTTTTTTACATTCCATGACACGATTTTATAAAATTCCTCTTATCTCGTCAATAAATATTTTGAAATTTTCTGGAAAAAGGATTTTCCCACCAGCCTACCACCCCAAAATTTTACCAAGGGCAAACAAACATTATTTAAAGATGACAAAAGCCATAATGCACATGTATAAGATACAAGTACATGTAGCTGCAGAACTTAGTAGCTCACTAGCTCTCCGGAAAAAATATATTGACAGTAAGTTCGACCATTCCAATTTTTTTCCGACCAGCGAGCTACAGATCTGCAGCTAGATATAAGAGGACACAGTATTGTTTTATGTTCATACCGTAACTGTTCTCTTCGGTCGGAAAATCTCTGGCTTGGGAAGACCATACCTGGATTAGAGTTGATAGGCAACGGTAATCTTATTTTCAGGTACATATCCTCCAACCACCAATGGTAAGCCTACAGTTGATTTAATACAACAAGTTGTCACGCTTTCTATTCTTTCTTCATCATGCCCAAAGAATTTACATGTATGTAAATGTGAAAGAATATCTGTTAAAATGTTAATGTTAAATAATGAAATTCGTATTCAAAAGCTAAAATTTTACACCATTTTGAAAAAAAAATAATAAAATTAATAATTTTCAATAATATACAACTAAAGCTTAATTAATGTGCAGGATGTATATCTATCAAACACGTCCCGAATTTCGTATTCAAGATAGTTCTCAGACAAAAGAAGTATCCAAAAAAATAAGCGTTTCAAATGCTTTTTAGCTCGCCTGAGCTGAAAGCTCAAGTTAGCTTTTCTGATCACATTTTGCCCGGCGTCCATCTGTCTGTAAACTTTTCACATTTTTGACTTTTTTCTCCAGAATCACTGGGCCAAGTTCAACTAAACTTGTCACAAAGCATCCTAGGGTTAATGGAATTAAAGTTTGTTCGAGAAAAGGACCACGCTCTATTGCAAGGGGAGAGAATAGAGAAATAGTGAAAAATTGGTGGCATATTTTAAAAACCTTCTCAAGAACTATTAGGCCAGGAGATATGAAACTAATGTGGAAGCATCCTCAAGTAGTGTTTATTCAAATTTGTTCAAATCATGACACCATAGGGTAGGGTGGGGCCACAATGGTCAATCAAAGTATAACTTAGAAATGCATAACAAAAATCTTTAAAAGTCTTCACCTGAAGAACAACAAAGCCATGATTGGTCATATTTTTATAGAAGCATCCTCAAAAAGTGTTAGTTCGAATTCGTTCAAATCATGACCCCCGGACATAGGGAGGGCAACAATGGACGATCAAAGTTTTAACATAGACAAGATGCCCTTGGGCCTTATAGGTCACCTGAGTATCATGTTACAACTTTTCCAACAATTGAATTTGATTCGTGTTTATCAAAGTTCCAAAGTTTAAACTTTGGTTCTATAGTTAACAATAGTAAACTAGAGTTAACTATAGTTACTATAGTATTTTTTGCAAGGTTTATGCCAGTGATCTAAGTATATATGTATGATGAATAGAATACTGATCCTTGATTAAGTCTCTTTTTGTGGCAAGACTGAAATAAGACTACAACTGTAGGAGTAGCTTTTCATAAAATTTTACAGAACTTTCAATTTAAATAACTACATTGCAACATCAATCATCAAAATCAAAAACACAAAACTGATTTTATGTACTAGTATCTCAGTGTAATCTACTTTGCATACCAAATAAAAGTTGGTTTACAGTATATAGAATTATGCATCTTAGTGTAGTCTACTGGTGTGCCAAGTTATATTGAAATCAGACCAAAGCTGTAGGAAAAGTAGCATTTTGAATGTTTTTCACAGAAATTTCTATTTTTAGTAATCACGGCAACACCGTTCATCAAAAACCGATACACAGAATTATGTATCTTAGTGTAGTCTTTTTGTGTCCCAAAGTTATACTGAAATCAGACTAAAGCTGTATGAGGAGTAGCATTTTGAATGATTTTCACAGAAATTTCTATTTTTAGTAACCATGACAACACCGTTCATTGAAATCGAAAACATATAAACAGAATTATGTATCTTAGTGTAGTCTATTAGTTTGCCAAGTTATACTGAAATCAGACCAAAACTACAGGAGGAGTAGCATTTTGAAAAATTGTTTACAGACGGACGGACAGACAGACAGACGGACGGACGCATTACTATCGCATAAGCTCTTCTGGTCTCTGACCAGTAGAGCTAAAAATGTGTATAAATGGATTTTGATACTGGTATACAATTAATTTTTAAAAGTAATATTGATGTAACCATCAAAAAAAAATGTAAACAATGGAAATGAGTGTTGATCATCAAACCGCTTCGATATATGTGAAAAAGGCATGCGTCTAAATGATGGAGACAATAATTAGTCGAGAATATTTTGAAAACTTAAAGTCGGATGAAAATCGTACAAAATTGATACCCTTTTAAACTTTATCAATTCCTCAAGTAAATGTTGGCTGCATAAAATATAAATTGAAACCAGATACATTCATTACCTATATTCAAAAATATATTTCACTTGAAGAATATAAAACATGAACTGTGTAGATCGAGTACGTTTTTATGCGACATGTAAAATTCGATGTTCTGAAAAAAGGGACCTGTCCTTTTTTCGATAGTAAATGATAAGCAACTTTATATAGTAAATATGAAAAACATATAATATTTTTACAGATTCACTTTATGGAAGTAAATATATTATGTATCTCGTAATTTATAAAGGGAAAGAACATTCTGATGAACACTCATTTTAATGTTTAGAAAACCTTTTATTCAGAATAACTTCTCCCACCTCAATCCCCATACACACTCTAAAAAAAGTTTTACTTGTTGTTTTTAAAATAAGATATTAGATTAAGAAAAACTAGTAATTATTAGTAATCCATTTAGTCAGAATAGCAAGTAAATGACTATCATGGTTAGTAATTGTAAACATAATTAGTAATAAGAATGAATTCATTTACTTATAAAATGATTTACTAAGTATCAATACTCAATAGGAATTCTATTACTAAATGAACTACTCATTTTTAGTAAATTATTATTACTTAATTTAGAGATAATATGCTTTCTATTTACTACATTTTATGAATTATTACTAAGTAAATGTAATTCTGAAATTAATTAAAATCTAGAATATTATTACTCAAATGAATACTAAGTAATTGAAATACTTATCATATTTACTAAAATCGACATTATTTACAAGAAAAACTGCAAAGTATCGTCCCTCTGATAAAGGAGATACATGTAACTATGAAATATAAAATGTAGACTTATCACAGTTTTCTTGATCATAGTGTCCTAATTGAGCTTTCTGAGTAGTCAATTAGATGAAATCTACTTGGAATGGTAACAATACTTTCTATTTCTTTTGCCAATTTCTTTGTAATTGTTTTATTATATTTAACAATAAAACATTTAATTCCAACATCAAAAGCCTTATAAATTGAATAAGTTGTCTCTTTTTAAGGACCAGTTTAAAAATGGTTTAAAGTTTCAAGTACTTAATACAGCATTTTAATTAGTATGACTTTTTTTTTTACATGAAGGAATATTTAGAAGGAAGATAACTCCTCCTCACAGACAATTAATATGGAAGCCAAAATTATATATAACTTTTCAAGAATTCAATCCTGATAGTGATTAGACTACCATTTTTAAGTAATTATTTGTATTGAAACTGCTCTGAATTCTCCTTGATTCAGTAAATAAATTAGTGTTTTAAGTAAAACAATTAAATACAATTTAAACAAGATGTGTTTGGGAAACACTGATGCCCCTCGTATGGCAACATAGCAAAGGTTAAACTTTTCTTATATGCAAATTCAATATATTGGTATTTCTTGATATCTCAAAGGTCAAGGTCAAATGGTCAATGTTATTGGTATCTAATGAAAGGTCCTGCCACAAAAAATTCATATCTGAAATATGAAAGCACTAGCCCCAACCTTTCAAAAGTTATGGTCAAGGCTACCAATTTTGAAATGTAGATCAAACTCCAAGGTCAAGGACAAAGGATCAGATTTGGTGGTACCCAAAGAAATGTCTTGTCACAAGGATGAAATTTGTAAAGTATGAATGCACTAACCCTAACCCTTTTAAAGTTAAAGTCAATGTTTGCTTTTTAAAAGTGAATCAAACTCCAAGGTCAATGTCAAAGGGTCAAAGTTCTTGGTATCTAATGAATGGTCTTCACACAGAAATTAAATATATGTAAGTATGAAAGCCCTATCCCTTATCGTTCAAAAGAAATGGCCAAGGTTAAAGTTTTTTCACAAGGATTGAAATCTCCAAGGTCAAAGTCAAATGGTCAAGGTTATTGGTATCCAATGAAAGGTCTTTCAACAAAAAATATATATGTGAAGTATTAATGTCCTGGTATTTACTGTTGAAAAGATATGGCTAAAGAAAAAGTTTGGAATTTGTAAAAGTGGGTCAAACTCCAAGGTCAAGGTCAAAAGTACAAATTTGGCGATACTCAAAGAAAGGTCTTGTCAAAAGGAATGGATATGTGAAATATACAAGTCATAGCTCCGCTAAATCAAAAGTTATGGGCAAGGTTAAATTTTTTGCGGAAAAACAGACAAACAGAGAGACAGACAGACAGACGGACACGACAAAAACTATATACCCCCGAAACTTTGTTTACGGGGTCAAAAAAATATTAGCTATATATAGTAAATAGTGGTTAAATCTAAGTAAAGGCCAAGTAATGTTATTACTTATATACACAAATTTAAGTAAATATAAATTACTAAGTAAAACTTTTTAGTGTTTAAGTAAAACAATTCTTTAAAATACAAAAATCAAGTAAAACATTTGAATTTAGTAATTGACATATATTTAAGTAATTGATTTAAAATTTTAAGTAAATGCTTAGTAATTATCTTTTACTTATCTTTGTTATTTCAAGTAAAAAATGACTACTAAGTAAAACTTTTTTAAGAGTGCATCAACACTGTATAACTTACATGTATAGAGCAGCCCGGTCCTCCGGGCTGCAATTAAAAACTAAATAAAAGTGAGTAAAACGTGTGCAAGGATAATTCAGCTATCAACATTCCAACGTGCTGCACGATGAGGGATTGGCATCACAAAAAATGTGAAATATTGAAAAAAAATATTATGTTACTCAACTGTAGCATATTCAATACAAAATTAAAAGTTCTTTTTTATTCTTTATTTATATACCCCGTAACTTTTAATGATTGTGTGTGTATATCACATGTACAAGTACGGAAGCCCGTTGAGGCCAGTTCAGAGAAAGAAATACTTTTTATTGCGTTTAAACGCAAACCACTTTGCGTTTAATCGCAAAAGATTGCGATTAAACGCAATAATATTGCGATTAAACACAATCATTGTTGCCTTTAAACACAATAATATTTTTGCTTTTAATCTCAATAATTTTTGCATTTAAACGTAATAATATTA